TCTACAGATTAATAACACTACAATAAGTTTAAAAAACCACTTATAACTTTAATTTGAATGTATTTTCTACATTTTATTCACAGTCTTGATGTAGGAGGCTATTTAGTTCAAAGAACAACAACAACAACAATAACAAAGCACTTTCTAGATGCTGGTTCGGTTGGATGGTCTTTAGCAATATGGATCATATGTGGAGCATTTTCGGCAATTGGTGCTTACTGTTATGCGGAACTTGGTACATTTATTCGATTATCCGGCGGTGACTATGCATATGTTTTAGCAGCTTTTGGGCCACTACTAGGTTTTCTTCGAATGTGGATTGAATGTATTATTATTCGGTTAGTTTGTGCTAGACAAACAACTTTTTCTTACTTACAGTATTAGATAGTTGTTTACTGTGAAGACTATATTGTTTGTTACTACATCCAAAACTTGACTTTTAAGTTTAGACCGTGTACCATAACTGCAGTGGCAATAACATTCGCCACCTATATCTTGCGACCATTCTTCAGCACATGTGGTGCACCACAGCTCACACCACAATTGCTTGCTGCTAGTTGTATTGGTTAGTTGTGTAATTTTTAGGCTAATTTTTTTTTATTCTATATAATATGCCCTGGCACTTGCTTTGTACACAACAAAAACAGAATTGTACTTTGGTGAATGAATTTTCCTGTTAACTTTTAGTGCTGTTGGCGTTGGTCAATTGTGTCAGCGTGAAATTTGTGACCTTCATTCAAAATTTATTTACTGTTGCAAAATTAGCTGCTCTTGCTCTTATTATTTTTACCGGGATATTTCTTATTATTTATGGAGATCGTAAGTTTTTTTTTTTTGCTTTTTTTGAGTTTTCATTTAATGTTTCTTTGTCGGGTAAGAAGTGGAACTAGACAATTTGAAAATTAGCCGACTAACTAGTAGGGTTGATGGTGAAGGTTTTTAATTGAAACTAATACATCAGTGATCGTAATATTCGTACGTATTTAGCTTATCGAGATTCATTCGAAAATATGTGGGACGGTACCCAATGGGGACCTGGCAACGTTGCACTCGCTTTCTATTCTGGACTGTGGGCTTACAATGGTTGGAACTATTTGAACTTTATCACCGAGGAGCTTATCGATCCAACGAAGTGAAAAGATTATTTTGGCAAATCTCTGTTATATTTATCACTGTATCCTTTAGAAAATTGGAGGAACTTACGGGATTTGTTTTTTTAGGAATTTGCCACGAGCCATTGCTATTAGTTGTACAATTGTTACTGTTGTATATTGTATGACAAATGTTGCTTTCTACGCAGGTATTTTGGTTTTGCTCTTCTAAAAGCAGTGACGAAAAGCTGTTTTTTTCTCAAAGCTATGTTCAAAAACAAGCTTTAATGAGATACCAGTAGGGTACTAATGATAGGCTCTTTTCAGGTACTTCACCAGAAGAGTTGCTTGAATCGAACGCAATTGCTGTAGACTTTGCGAATCGGTTTTATGGCATATTTGCGTGGACAATGCCGGTTATGGTTGGCTTATCCTGCTTTGGCACGGTTAATGGAATTATGCTAACGTCTTCACGGTACATTTTTTTTTTAATTTGAAATGTGAGGAGAAGTAAAGTAGAGGGAACTTGTAAGGCTGAAATTGAGATGTTACATGATAAATTTAGTAGTTTTCAATTGATATATAGCATTAGCGACGATAGTTTTAGGTAAGTGTTATTTTAGGCTTTTCTTTGTCGCTGGTCGCAATAAGCACATGCCATGGTTACTTAGCTTTATTAATCCGATTTATAATACACCAATTCCCGCCGTACTCTTTACTGTGAGTTCTATTCTTTCTTATTTTCTTAACATGGCATTTTTTGAAAAACAGCGACTAGAGTAGTTACTGTTACTCTTTTTTTCAGGCATTACTTTCATGTTTTTATTTGCTTTTATCAGATAATATCTACACTTTGATCAATTATGTTCAAATTGTTAACTGGATAGCTATTGGAATGGCAACTGCTGGATTATTGTATCTTCGGTTGGTTGATATTTGTGTAACACCTTGGAAGAAATTTTTTTGGTTTTTTTCATATAATCTGCACGTTATAGGGTAAAACAACCACCAAGGAAATATCCACGGCAACTGCAAGTTAATCTTGTTTGGCCAATAATTTTCTTGGCGGGTTGTGTATTTTTGGTAGTATTTCCAATGTACCAAGCTCCAGTTGACACAGGTACCGTTTTTCAATTAGTCGTGTTTGCTGAACAATATTTAGTCAATTGTAAGCAATTTGGTGATTAAAAACGGTTTATAGTCTTGAGTAAATTCTTTTCAGCTATCGGTATTAGTATTATGATGACAGGTTTACCAGTGTATTTCTTATTTGTTCACAACGCTGGAAAGTTATCCTTTGTCGATTCATTGATGAGTAAGTGCATTAGTGTACATGCAATACTGCTGCCGGATACAAATTTTTAAAGTTCATTAAATTTCAAAATTTTAATTTTATATTTTATTCGTCAGTGATCCGCATCTGTGACAGTTTTTTAAATACTTTCTAAGTGTTGTTGAAAAGCGAGGAAGACTGAAATGGTTGTAAGTGATACGTAACTTTTTTCAGATAGCTTTACTTTATCAGTACAAAAACTGCTGCTAGTGGTACCGACTAAGGAAAGTGCCGAGGGCGAATGAGTTAAAGAAAAGTTGAGGACTGAAGATGACCAAGGTATCTGAAGTCTGTGATACCTCTTTGTAGTTTTTTTTTCGACGGCTACAGGATCAGGAAGAAGCGGAAAAGTTTAACTCAAAAACCGAAGTGCATGTTGGTTGTTCGAGTGTTTGTAGCGGACGAATCCAGCTACTGTTGGTAGATCACTCTTTTTTAGCGTTCTATTTGGTGGTCAAAACCTTGTTTCTTTTTTATTTTTCTATAATCTTTTCGAATGATTTAAATGATTCTTAGCTGTCAAAGTTCTAATCTTCATATCACTTTGTTTTTCACTTCGCTTTTGGAGCTGATCTCGATCGTTCTGATTCTCTTTCGAACTATCAGCAGTTCCACCCTTTTCAGATTTTGATATTTCGTGTGAACGATGTAAAATGTGAGTAGAAGATGAAAAACTTTCTGTAAAACCAAAGAGTATTTGAAAGTACTGTGGAAGCTGAATTTTAGCTCTTGTATAAAGGTTTTTTTGAGCATGATTGATGGTCATTGCCGTTTACTCACCTTCTAATGATTCTTTTCGTTATGATGTAGTTGCTGTTTTTACAACGCGTTTTTACATTATTGATCATCATTATTTTGTAGTTCCTATGGCTAAGGTGTTCGTTTCAGAGGCAGATTGTCTTGTGAATTAACTTTAGACGAGCGTTTTACAAGTTAGAATTTCTAAAGAGGTACGCTGGAGTGAAACAGAGGTGGAACAGTATGACTTTTAGTATTGACGTGTATTGGAGACTGAAACGTTTTAATGTCACAGTAACTGATGCTATTAATGTAGTTTACTAGACGAGGAAATCGGGTGTAATTGTGAATACTCTGACTGTTTTTTTTCATGCGCATATCAGATTGGAATACTTTTATACACTGCAATGCGGCGTGGTGGCCATTATCCTAGCCAGGTTAAATCCAGCAAAAAAGATTAACGTTTTTGTCAGGCTTTTTGAAATGCCAGAAGTGCACGCCGACGTCAATAAAGTTTGGAAAGCACTCCTCGGTTCTCTCTGTAGACCAGTATCGATGTAATAGTCGTTCCAAAATGGAGTACTCTGATGAACCATGATATTTGGCTCGTCTTAGACGAAATAACGAGGTGACTGTTCCTTTTATTAAGGTCGTGAGTTCTTTTGCTGAGCAGTAGTTTTTTAAGCCAAAGCTGTGTAGTACCTGCCTATCAAAGGAAAACTGTCAGTCATGGGTGTGTCACTCCAAACTTGTTTGCGTAGTTCCTCATCAAATTGTTCTTTTGTGTTGAATACCCGATTCCGCTTATAAGTTTGATCCTGTCTGGTTGACCTGTGCCGACAGCGGTCAATTTTTAGAGGCTCTTCTGAACAACAGGAATTTTTATGCAACTTTTGGGACAGACTTGACTTTGCACCGTATGCTTGATCGAGGTTGAGTGCTAGCTCTTACTTTTGGATAGTCTTGCTTCCCGTGCCGGCGTACGCTTTTCAAAAGTAGCTCTCATTATGGGCGGATAGGATAACTAATACAGCACAAGCTGAGATAATGTTGGCGCGCAGGACGAAGCTGAATGCCTTTTTAAATTCAGGAGCTCTCTCAGCATTTCGATAAGTAGGATTTGTCCTCTAGAAGCACAATTATTTTGTCACAGTCGATTGTGATCGCTGTACGAATCTTCAATTCTCAAACTTTCTGGCCATAGCACTTGATGAAGTGAAATATTATCACTGCTCTCCAAAAAACTGTCCTCTGTTTGCCTTCCTTTACTGTCTTTTTTTTCGACAAATGGGGATTATCGTCCCAAAGCACAGCTACATTATCACTTTGCTCAGCCGTATTCACGAGGGTTAATTTATGAGCAGTAATATTAGTACCGGCAGTGACGAGCGAGTTCTAAACTTAAAAATCTTTTTGACCTAGAAAAATCAGACAAGAAGCCCATATTACTCCTAAACTATATCGCTTAGCTTCCTTCATGCTTGTCTCAGTCCCCTCTTGCTGAATTTTTTGAAATCTACTGAATCTACTGCAAAACAATGACTTACATTGAAGAGAGGAGATCAGCAAGCAAGTTTTTACAATGAGTCTTACAGTAGCTATAGCAGTAGTAACCAGATTATCAACAAAAATGAGCAAAGACAAGTTGTACAAATGTCAGAAAAATACCAGTTACTAATTGGTGTTTTAGTAGTACTTTCCAGTAAACAAGATGCCCTAAAGCACTGCCTGCCATCACCCCAAAATCTGTCACAGCTGCTGCTTCTGTCCCTTTCTCGTCAACCGAAACCGATGAGTTTGGACAACGTTGGTGACTTAGACACAGGTGAAGTGGAATAAGACTTTTGCTTTAGAGTAAATCTAGAGGACTTTGGTCAGGTCACTGTGTAAATACGCGAGGATATCACAGGAAGAAGTGATGAAAAGAATCCTAGGAGCAAGTTTCAAGAACTAGTTTGTCTTTCAGTCAAAAATCACCTCAATGAAAGTCTTGTGAATAACCTTTGATATATAAAGCGGCTCCGTGCTCATTTTACTGAAATTCGCACTTGGCATAAAGGCTTCTGCCATTCCCATGCTACCCAAAACTTCTTTTAGTTCATATTCTTTTTCCACACGAAATTTTGGAATTTGTGCCTGAAAAAGAATTTGCACAGTAAAGACAAAGGAGTTCTTCTATGGCACAATAGTAACTAAAAAAGATGATCGGAACGCGAAAAGCCTAAAACTATAGTAAGTATCATCTTTTCCGGTTCCAAATACTGAACTTTAACTTCATTTATCATATTTAACTTCTACCGTGAATGGTTCCAATTTCTATACAGCAAAAAACCACTTAATAAGGGTGCGCGTTTCTTGAACTGAAATTGCTGCTTGCAATCTCAAGACCTTGTCGGAAAATAAAAAAATATATCATGTCTTTGTGTGGTCCGAACTTTAAATATTTTTTTTCTTTTACCTTGACTTTGATCCATTTGACTTCTCTAATAAATTGCATCAACTTTTTCCCATCCATGTTTGCCAAAAGCTTTGTAAGGCCGATTTTTTCAACAGGTAGCAGAAAATACATTTCTAATTCTCCTCCAACATAAGGAAGTCCCAGTACTTGAGTATTTTCATCAGCATAATAATCTAAATTGTCATTCTTGTGCATCATTTCAACCTGAAAAGAAAGCAATACTCAGGATAACCAACTGCCTAACAAATCTGATTATTATTTGCACAAAAATGATTTTCAATTGCGTAGTATAAGAAACCTCTCGCTCTTCCTTCTCAGCAGCACAAAACGGTTTCTTTGAAGTGAACTCTGTATTAAAAACCGATGCCCAATTGGCTCTGAAGTAAACTGCGTTCAAAATCATCATACGTATATCTGGCTTGATAACATCAGGATACACTATATTCTTTATCTTGGAATGTGTTTGTTCTTCTGTTGATCCTCTAAAATCCGGAACCAACAATTTTAAAAGATTGCAAGAAATTGTCAAGTTGAAAATTTAAGTGTTTGACAAAAGTTTTGTTCAAAAACTAAAAAATAATCTTAACAGCGTTCCACTTGCAAAAGCATCTGCGTTTAATACTCAACTGCAATTCCAAGCAAAAAATCTTACATCTGATGTTGGTTTCGCTTGTGAAAAGTTAACAGACTCCAACTGCCTAGAATACTTTGTTTCTACAGCATCAACATAATCTTTTTTCATCGTAAAGTTTTTGTCATAGAATAAGCGATTTGCAGCGGTTAATGTATCCTTCTGCGGCAACTTTTTTCAAATTTTGTGAAACATACTGGTGAAATTCGTTGTCAGTAAAGCCTGAAAAATCAATTACAATGGTTGTAGGGCACTGTCAGGAAGACAGAGAACAAGATGACGAGCAGAAAACACAAAAACAGTACTGAAGCAAAAGTAGTGAGCAGAAACTTACAACACTGCTATGTCACTACCATGGGATTCAAAAGTTGTTTCCCTAATATCATTACCTTTTAAAATGCTAGAAACTAAAATGAAGACAGAAGAGTCCAACCTACCAGTTACCTTCTGCAAGTAAGTTATGCATTTGTTTCTTGGTACTTCCATCTGCTCCGAGATATGCAATCGCCAAAGTTGAGGTGATCGAAAATGTTGAAAGAACCATGGGTATGTTGGGAGCTGCGGCTACTCTCAACGGGCCTAACGTGCAATGTGTTTGCACGATTGCCATACCGTCCTCCATTTTTGAGCTAAAAAAACTGATGAGGTGATTGTTAAGAGTGCAGTTGCTGCAACAGATTAAAACTTTGAATGCTTTATACCGCTTTTGTCTCATCCCTGTTAATAGACTCAGGTTAATTCGGTCGTATTTTAAAGTTTGAGCCGTAAACTTCTGTGCAAAATGTTCAAATAAAGCACTTCAAGGAGCAATTGCAAATAACTATCGTGATTCAAACAGCAAAATATAAACCTAGTACGGTTTTCAAGCACTGAACCCTCAGAAACTAAAGTTTCCAGTTACGACCCTCAAAACAACGTGTAGTAATTAGCAGAGCCAGAATCAGAGTCGGTGGTGTCATCAAAGTCATCACTTCTGCTTTCTTTAAAAATGAAGCATCATAAAACACAGATTCATCAGATTAGTCAGATACAGTTAGACCCTTCCTACTTCAGTGTTTGTTTCCGTTTCAATATTAAAGGTCTCATAGAGAAAGAACAAGAGCGAAAAACTTGTCAAGTGTGACCAAAAAGTAAATTGAACTTTATTGTGTCATCGCACACAGAAACATAGATGTGTCGTTTAATTTAAAAAAAAAACTATCAAAATTATAAACGTTTAACAATGTTTAAAGTTTAGCCAAAATGTTCAGAACTTGTCAAACAGAAATGAAAACTATATTGGTTGTCCAAATATCAAATACAGTCAGAAAAAAACCGTTTGACTAAGTTTTCCTTATTATTTTCTTCTTTTCCTTAATTCTGTTAGAGGTTACATGGTAAGTAGAAAAAAAAAATGCATTTAAAAATGTAAAACAAGGACGACGGTAGAAGAAAATGAATAAGAATATTTTGTGCCAACACTTGAGGCTCGCTTTGCTGTAGAAACAGAATTACACTGAAACTCCAAAGGACTTACGGATACGGTTAAGCAGGTGAATTGCGGTTGGGTTATCCACGAATGGTGCTGTCTTATTAGCTGTAGAAAGTAGTCTTGATATTTTGTGGTTTTAGTGTTTTACTTGCGCAATGGTCGTCAAGGTTATAATAAAGATAACTCCTAAAAAATTAATTTTTGCTCTAAAATAGATGACCAATTGAAAAGAATCTGATTTTCAGATCAATCACCATGAGAAAACAGAGGCATAAAAAATATAATTTATTATTCTGTGTATTAAGCAAAAAACAAAAGAAAATTGGCTTTCATACATAAAACTAAGACAGATGTTTTGCAGAAAAGTGAAAGTTGTGAGGATCAAGCGAACGAACAAATTAGTGAAGAATTCAGGAAATACTGCAGTTATCCGGTGTAAAAAAATAGATATTCAGATTTCAATTAGTTGCATATTGTTAGACTGTAAACCTTTTATCTAGTATGATGCAAGTATGATATCAATAAGGAAATCAATATAACTTTTTAAAAGAAAAATGCTCTAGCAAACAAATTTTTTAATTTCTGCCTCATATTAGCTTTCAACTTTGTTTTGTCTTCTAAACTACCCTCCTAATGACAGATGTAAACAATAAATTCTGGCTAATCAAATCCACAAAAACAAAGTTCAATTTTTACAGAAATGTATTACAAATAGTTGCGCAGTGCTAAACAAACAAAAAGAAGCAACCATAATCTGTCATCAAGTTAAAAATACAGTTGAAAATGTTAAGTTTCAGTAAGAAAAGCAAAAAATGAAAAAAGGAAAACAGAAAAGATGAAAAATGCACCGATTTTCGATGCACTTTATTGCTGAAACCCATTTGAACTAAATAACCTGCAGCAGCAGTCATCAGCAACACTTACTGAAAATTGAAAGAAAAAAAAGCATATATCAGTATGAAAACTGTATTGGACAAATGCAGTTTTCGTGCAGTTTTTAAATTCTGAGGGTGTTTAGTATTAGTCACCAATTTAGAATACCCTTTACTCTGAGCATGTACATTTATCGTGTCATTTCTGTTGAAAAATTTGTGAAAACCATAATTACATAAAAAGTTTGGTGGTTATTATAAAAACGTTATAAGATGGACCGTCGATCTTGACACAGCATTCAGTTAAGAACCGATGTATTTTAGAACCAGAAAACTACTCACTCATCTGTAACATCGATACGTCCAGAAATCCAAATACTACAAAAGATGTAGTTGTCGCGACCGCTCGCGAAAGGCATCCTAAGGAAACTTTAACGTCATTATATTTCCATAGCGAGAAGCTCTCGGAGTTGTTGCAGACTGACCACATGAGTGGACGGAAGCCAGGTATAAAAGAGGCAGCCTTTAGGAAATTATTCATTGTTATTTCGGTTGTACTTTAAGTCGTCTTTCCGATCAATACCGATTGCTCATCGACGACTGTCTACTTCAGTATATGTTTTTAGTTTCTGTTAATACATGCCCGGTAGGCAGCTTCTGATTCGTTTAATTGACCTTAAGTTGTCTTCATTTACAATTGGTATTTCTTTTTTTAGTATATTACTGAGTGTGGACCATTGTCAAACAGAATTTCTATTTGTACAGTATAAAGATGGAGTAAGAATAAGAGGGTTGAACTGTAAAAAAGAGCTCCAACATAGAAAGGAAGTATTACTTAAGAGGTACATAAATCGACATGATGTCGGGAATCTAAGACATGGAAGTCAAGGACCTCAAATTAATAAAGGTTACAGTTGGTTGGTTGATACTGTGGCGAGTAGGAGCTAAATTAGGACCCACAGTAAGAATACTGTATTACTAGAAAGACCCTTGCTGAGAGTGTAGGAGGATTACTGCAATAGTAATCCTTCATTTCAGGAACTTTTCCCTTTACCACGACAATAGTTTAACACTACCAAAAACGACTATCATACTTGCAGCAAGTAAACCTAAAGAGTGAAACATTGTGCTTACTTCAACTTTAACTTAATAAACCAATTTTCTTCTATTTTTCTGCTTCAACAGAAACTTCTTTTAACAACATTCAGTTTTTCTAGTTGCCCTCGATAAAGTTTTTGAAACGTAATTTTTAATTTAAACTTATGAAGGTATCCAAGATGCAATGAAGACCACTTCCAAGACAAAAATTACGCTTTTGCTTTAAAATGTAGATAGATTATTACTCAGAGAGCGCAGTGAAGTAATTTTCTTAAGCATGTATGCAAACCTTAAATAAAACTACAAATGGTCTTAAAAAAGTTACCATTTAACTTAACAGCGTGTCAAAGCAATACAATGAAATAAAATAAGGTAATAATTATATTATCTCACTGTTCAATCTCACTCAGCTGACATCATACGTATTTAGATCCTATAAACCAAACTTAAACAGTAGAGTGAGAATAATGAAACAACGCACTAAAACAGTTAATCTTTGTAAAAGAAAACGGTCAAGTCGTACCCATTTTTCTAGTATTTAAACGACCATTTGTGAAAATCACAAGTAGAGAGTGAGATTGGAAGAGAAGAAACAGCTCCGCATGTAGCATTCAAACTGCGTCTTCTTGCAGAGAAGAATGATTTTTAAAATTGCAAAGTTACGAATACTCGCAAAACTGAATGACAACAGTCGACTGAGTAATCATATAATTAAAAAATAAGAAACCAGAACGATGACGAATTCAAAACGTAAAGAAAAAAGAAATATATAGCAGAAATCTATCAGCGATAATGAACAATTTGGATATTGTGTGTTAATAAAGTTTAAAAGCTGTTAACAACAACACGTCAAAATTTGTTGTGACTCATAAATTGGTGATCACACTGCCACTTACTGCAATAAATCGCCATGTGCCAATGGCGATTATAATGACAGCGTTTGCCTCAGGACTCCTGAGCTCAAAACAGTACGATGAGTTGTTTAAAATAACTAATAACTTTTTCAAAAGCTTTCGTGTCAGTATCAAAAAGCTTTTTTTACTCTCTCTAAAACTCTTTCTTCATAAACCTTTCAAGATTTCTTTTGCACCATCAACTGCTTCTCAGTCATACTCAATGTAATCTGGACATTATGTGACTACTAAAATCTTTCTCTTATTGAGTGGTTACAATGCAAATTTTTGAAAGCTGTCATAAAAATCCTCAATAAAAACATGCTCTTTCACAAGCAATATAAGTTAGATAACTTTTTTCAGCAATTAATCAAGTTATGTTCAAGGCAAAGAGAATCACTTTCATTATGACTGATTTTTGTTCTAACCTGAAAACTATAAAGTCTAACCTACACGGGAACCAAACTTCTATTCAACCTTTCAATTACCTGTAGAACGTCAGTGAATCAAGATGGTTGAATAGTTGATGAAATAAATCATTATGCACAAGATACAGATTTAAACAATATTGAGAAGTTTAACACTTTTGTAAATTTAAGCAGAAGTGAAAATGCTTTTGAAAGTAGTAGTCTATAATAAGTATCTCAAGTGACTCAACGTTTGTTAGTTTAATCTCGTTCTAAAGCAGTAATCTAAAAATAAAAACTAAGAAAGTAGAGCCACGGTATACAATGAGATTATTCATGTACCTAAATGCTAAAAGATAAAAAAATATATAAAAATATGCTTTACAAAATAAATGATTTTACCGACTGTGATATTAGCGCCAATTATTTGAACATTTTGTAGTTACAATGCTTAGAAATATGGGAAATCAATAGAAAAGTAAAACGACACGTTCAACTACAACGAATAAGGTCCAAAAAAAAAAAGAAGAAAAAAATTATAATTTCAATTTTTAAATTAGAAGGTGTTTTAAATTTTCAGCTGCTATGGAAGATAGTATGCGCAGTACCAACTTTAGTTATTTAAGTGCTTCGTTGCAACAGATTAAATCATCCTTAGAGCAGAAATTTCGGTTTTTTAGGGGTTGTTTTTAATGTTCAAAAATTAGTTCGCTTTTTTAAGAGCATTTTATACTTTTTAATCTGAGCAATGCAGCTGAATAATACATCAAGAACCGGTAAAGAAAAAGTACAATAAAATGAAAAAGATAGTTGAGATAGTTTCAACCTTTATCTAATGAAATTTTCCGGTTTGTATTGTTAGAATACCGTTTTTAAAAAGCAATTTTAACAATACGAATTTGGAAGTATAACTGAAAATTTTTTTGGCTTTTTTGTTGTTAAACACATTTTTACTTTGAAAATTTTACATCTCTTAGCTGATTTCTTTATTGTTTCTTCATTGCTTTTTCAAGCATATCGGTTGCTTGACACCAAGCAAAAAAGTGTTGAGTTTTCCAAAACCAAATTTAACCTTTGCCTTATTACAATATCAGTTGTTACAAAAAAAAAAAAAAAACTAGATTTTTTTTAATGTTGTACACCCAACTTAAATTCGGTACACAAATAAAAAATTTAGGTCGATTTGAAATGTTTACCTGCACAACTTTTGATATCTCATCATATTTAGTTTTTATTTATTAATGGCTATTATTAGCTCATCTTGTAGCCATCTTTCTGCACCACATTAGTTTCTATTACTGAATTGGATAAAATAAAATGCAAAAGAATCCAACACTTGGTTTTAATCTGCGAAATTCTACCTTATCTATCAGCTGATTTTACAGTTTTGAATAATAAATTCTACAGACGATTCCAGTAGCACTGTTACTGGACTGATGCTTTGTTGAATAGGGCAAACCGAATGCTAAAAGCCGTCAGAAACAGATTTTATTTTAACAAAATTTGGCTCAGATAAATATTGTTTGAAAGAATTCTTATACTGACATGTACAGAAAAGTAGTACTGACGTCATTTGATCATTAGTTGCTGATGAGAAGTAATCACCATGTGCCACCAAAATTTTCATCAGCTGAAGAAACCGAAATCCAGAAGTGTTAAAGCAAACTGAAGTGAATTGTCAAAGCAGAAAGCAACAAAAAGATATGGAAGAAAGCAAGATCAAAAGCGTAAAAAAAACCAACTGTGCCCTACTCTGGACAACATTTGTGCAAAAAGCAATGAACTGGTTCAAAACAACTGTGGAACAAAATTTTTTGCACAGAAAAATTAATGTGAACGAAGAAGAAGTGTTCAAAAGATGATATATCACAAAAAAAAACTTCAACTGTCAATAACCAAAAGTTTCATACAGAAAAAATGATGTATTAAGACAAATCGGAGAATGGTCGACAATTTTACTGCCAGTTACCGGCAGTACTTTAGTTCGCTGATAAATTTGTGGTTAAAGATGAAAAAGTTTAAGAGCCGTTATTTGAGAAGCAACAGACTGTAGAACTGTTCATAGACAGTAAGCAAGAAACCTAAACGATAAGTGATAATAAAATATGATTAAAATGTGTAAAAAATTTTTAAAATACTTTAAGAAACAATCATCGACAGTATCTGAAATATCAGCAACTGTATTCAGTCTGTTATGTCTACTGTTGATGTAGTCTCAGTACATTAAAAACTCTAATGCTTATCGATGCCAGTGAGTGATACTATAAACAACGTTTTTCTAAGAAAAGTTATTTTATTTCTTTTTGTTGTGTTCTAGCAGAAAAACTTTGGATACCTCATCCAAGTAATCTCCAAAAATATGAACTTATTGTAAAGTTATTAAACTGCTTTATATCCAAAAATTTTTAGCTCTGTATTGTATAATTTTTTTTTAAAATTATCTGAGGATCAACAACATCAGTGTTATCTATCTTTCTACTGTCCATTACAGCGACACTTTTTATGTAGTTTAGTACTCATTTACTGCATAATTATTGAAAAATAACAACATAGGTAATACAAAGTACAAATTGTTGCAGATCAATATTTGAATTACTATGATTTGACAATTGTATAAGGTATACGAAAGAAAAAAAAGTGTTACTTTTTTTTTTTGTTTTTCTTTTTCACATTGGTATAAATTTCTTTAGTGTAATGTTTTTGTCAACAAATAAACGGTACTTTGTTGTTGCTCTACAAAATGGTATCTAGAAAATACTTGAGCAATTAACAGTAATTTCAATAATTCTTTTACAGAAATAAATGCTGCTGACCAGTAATCACTACTGATACTTATTGTTGATACTTTATTCTTTTTGTTTTGCTGAACGTAGATGGATCTCATGCTACAGCTAACAGTAGAATTTGCGCTGTACAGTATATAAAGCTATCTGCATACCATCAAGCTACTAAAATGTTGTTTCAGTACTTATTTGTTTACTTTTATTTGCCTTTAGAAGTGAAATATCTTATCTGAGCCTTTGCAGATTTAGACCTAATAACAAAAAAAAAATTGCAAAGCAATAATATTACGCAAAACTTTAGTGGTTATCTTGTATCAAATGGTGAGCGTAAAATTAAACCAAGTGAAGTAAAAATTGGTATAAATTTTATTAGTGTAATATTGTTGTTAAACAAATTATTATGAAAATGTAAATTTACATTTCAATTTATCTCTTCAACTCTCTTTTTTCTTCTGGTACGGGTGGGGCGGGGTGGGGTGGAGAGAACCGAGCGAGTAAAAACACAACTATCAAATATTTTTACACTGTCAATTGCAAAAGCACTTAATTAAAAGCGTCATTTTAGTTTTTTAACTTATTTTACCTTATCATCTATTATCGCTTCTCTGAACAGGTTAATCTCTAACATTATTTAATGTCGCATTTTCAAATATAATTTCATTTATATGCAGTACGTAATTTAGAAGCATTTTCACTTTCCTTCTGCGATCGAAAAACTGGAATTTAAGATACTCACAGTATCAGATACCTGTACCTAACCACATAACAAAACTTTGGAACCAAATTGTGATGATTGCTTCTGACAAACAAAAAAAAAAGTTTTTACTACCAAAAGTAAACCGAAATGAAAGAAAAAAAATAGAAATAAAAAAAAAAGTCGTCATTTTTCTTTGTTGTAATTTATACGTTTCAAAATCATGGCGGAAGATCAACTGATGGAATGACCTTCAATCTGTTGTTCAGATATTTACAGCTGTTTATCGGTGACAATTCCCTTTGTCAAATAATCATCGGATTTGTATTAACAGTTATTTCCGAAAACACTTATTATCCATTACAGTGGCCTTCAGTTAAACTTTTAACTCTCGAGTTTCAAAAAATAATGCTTTGACAAAATTTTGAGGTTTTCTCGGCGCAACAACAATTTACGCTACAAATGTGGTTCTTTTTGAATACTGCAAATATGCGCTTGACTTTGGTATCCGATATCTGCTTTTATTGATTATCGATATCTAACAGCAAAAACAAGGCAATTTGGGTCTTAGGCTTTGAAATTTGGCAAAATGGTTCAGAGCATTAGATGCGACATTAATTGTTCTATGAGATACCGAACAAATGATTGTGATAAAAAATCAACACGTCTTTGTTTTTATGTTTACCAAATAACTAACCAAACAAATGAATACATATTAGTTTGAATAAAATCAGTTATAGAATAAAATATACGCCGCATAACAAGCAAACAAAGTTTAAGAAAATTGCCAATCAGATAAAGAAAAATTTTTGTCAGGTAGAAGTTCAGAACCTTTTTGAAATCTCAAAAAAGTTTCTTTAGTGTTCTGTAGCAATTTTTTCTGATTCGTGAAGTTGCATTTTTTTCAAAAGATTCACAGTTGCATAATTTCATTTTTTTGCAACAAACAATCTACTCGTAAATTATTACATTTTTAAGCTGATAAATATGTTCAGTCTGAGTTGAAAAAAATTTATGATTAACTGTAAAAATGAGATAAAAGAAATAAAAGTGTCGCCAATAAAATTTATCCTAATCTTCAATTTTTGAAAAAATGAGCTATTTTAATTCAAAATGTTTCATAACTTCTGTCACGCTGTTGATTTTGGCTATATAACATTAGACTCAAAGTAATTTAAAGGATAAAATATCCTACAAGGCGTTATGTTACTACATCTAAACTTCTGTTTTCACCGAATAAATTTAAGTAGTTCGTTATTGTAATGATCAAAAAACTCTTTCTTTTAATTCTTACTTTTTTGCCACAAAAATTCAAAACTTAGTTATATCGGTTTTCTTTGAAATCTTCAAGTTTTTAAGGGCATTTAGAAAGGAAACAACTCAATTTCGCCTCTTCTTAGTTTTGAGTTTTTCTTTCCTTTTAATTCATCTATTAAACTTCAAAGTGACCCTGAAATTACGGTTTTTTGTCAAGTGAAATTTTCAGTTTTTTGATCATTTTTTTCTCTATGAACGAATTGACAAAATTATGTATGATAAACAAACTGCTCTTTTTCCTTATCTAAAGTTATTTAGTAAGAATGAAGTTTTACCTTTCTATCAGTATATGACTCTGAAAAGAAATGCTGTAGTCAACTGTAACTGTAAACAGTTGTATCTTTTGTAATTTTTTTGCAACTAGTAACTCTGATCACAGTTTCTGTCTTCTGATTTCACTACTTTTTTTTTGGGGCCTCTATTTCTTCACAGAAACTGTGTTCCAAAAAGGAATAGGGTAAGGGGTGACGAGAAAAAGTTGAAGGCGAAAGTTGAAGAGAGTAGAAGAATCACTTGTTGCTCTAAAAATAAAAGTCAAAAGTTTCCTG